CAAACAACCATTCACTCTCTCACTCACACCTAGAGACAATTTAGAGTTACCAATCAGTCTAACATGCATGTTTTTGGTCTGTGGGAGGAAACCAGAGTACCTGGAGAAAACCCATGCACGGAGAGAACATGCAAACTCAACCCAGAAAGGTCCCCGGACCGGGATTCAATCAGGCAACCATCTTGCTGAGAGGTGGCAACTTTACCAACTGCTCCACCGTATCGTCCCAAATAACACACGAAAAATAAATAAATAAAAAAACCACGGAAACAGTAGAATGCTGAGTCAGCAAATACTGCAGAAATGATGGCGCTGTACCTTTGGGAGATCCACTGTAGGGAAAGTAGTTTGAGTCGGTGTGATAAAGGTTGTCACAGTTAGAGGTGGAAAAACGACTGGAGTTGACCAGATTCTCATTGATCTTACTCCTGATCTCTGTTGGCGAGGCAGATATGTCTGAAGGAAAACAACAGGAGAAAAGAAAATCTGTCAAATGGGTTAAAAAAAGACAACTTGAATATTAACATTTCTATTTTAACCTCTGAACTTTCAGTCCTCCAGGGGAAAGTGCAGCCGACACATCATCAATCTAGCAATTATTTTTATTGTCCACCATCAAAAGGAAAAAGGTGATAATGCTTTAGTTTCTGTGTCTGTCATGTTAGCAAAATATCCAATGAACCACTGGATGGATTTTTGTGAAATTTAGAAAGTAATCAATGTCCAGGTACATGTAAAACTGGTAATGGGCATTTTAAGGAATCCCAAGCCTTTAGTATAAATTCATATTTTGCACTTTAAACCAACAGTTGTTACACATTTTGAGATTCGACTAAAAACTATAAATATAATAAGACAGGATGGGCTTGCAAAGCTTTTCAGTTTGCATATAAGTTAGCATTTAGTTTTTTATGACATCGTCTCGAAAGAGTAATGAAGGGATTCAAGCAAAAGTGATGGTGCCATTATAGCAAAGGTCATGTGTTGACGTCAATGTGACTTCCTTCTTTGGGTAGTCTATGGTTACACAAATTCAGCAGCAACAAGTGGTCTTAAAAAATTTAAATATATCAAATAGCATAGACTACAAAAATGTCCCACTATAAATAAAACAAAGACACAACAAAATTGCATTTCAAGCAGTTGCCAAGTCTGTTGATCACATACATTATGCTCCTAATCTGTAGCATTTATTTAGCTGATCGTGTTATTTTGGCTACGATGCATAAACTCTACTGTTACATGAGTCATTGCTCTAAATGTAAATTCCTGCACACAGCTCAGATCACAGACTGCCGGATCGCACCGAAGAGTTTGTCAGCGTTTTGCAGCGCGGCGTCAATCATGCCGAGGTCTTTCCGAGGAGCCGTAACGCTGCAGGAGCTGATGGATCGCCTACACACTCCGTATTTGGCACGGCTTCTCTCAGGTTTCATTCACATTTTGAAACATCAGCTGAATCTGTGATCTAAAATTTAATGTGGTGACAACTCTCAAACGTCGCAGCCCTCCTCCAGTGTCTGCTTCTTTACAGCTGAGCTTAGGCAAGTCATTATGGAGAAATGATAACATGACATGTCTTCAGTCTACTGATTCTGATGCAGGACTCTTATTTTATGAATTCAAAACTTCCCTGTGGATTTATTATCTCAAACAAAATAACGTCTCTTAAAACGGTGCTCAAAACTAAAACACTGATCTTCATAATGACTGTGAAAATATATCACAAACAAGTGGATGCATTTTAATGAAGCCTTCAGCTGAAATTCAATGAATATACATCTACCATGTTTTTCGGACTATAAGGCACACTTAAAATACTTTAATTTTCTCAAAAATTGACAGTGAGCCTTGTAATCAGGTGCGCCTTATATATTAACTCTGGTTGTGCTTACTGACCTCAAACTGATTTTATGTGGTGTTATGTGCCTGGGGCACATTGGCCTTATTATTTTGTCCTTGGGACACGTCTTGGGTTTTGGGTTGGCTGATTAGCCTTTAACTGTTTTGGGCTGTGGCCTTTTCCGCCCCACCTATTTAAGAGGCTGGTCCCAGGGAGCTCTTCTCCCCCATCTCCCCTTCCCCTTTTCCTTCCCTCTCTTTTTTTTTCTCCTCTCAGGCTCACTCTGTTTTGTGAACACTCATGTTCCCACATTTTTGGACCTCTCAGCCTCGCTCTCTTTTTGAACCTCCTTGTTTGGACCATTTTTTTGTGTTTTGCTGCCCGTTTTTTTTTCTGGGACCTTTGTTTTTTCTTTGTCCTGGAGCTGTGACCTGCTGTCGGCGGCCTCAGCCATCCATCCATTTTCTTTACCCGCTTATTCCATTTTGGGTCATGGGGGTCGCTGGTGCCCATGTCCAGCAATCACTGTGCGAGGGGCGGGGTACACCCTGGACGGATCGCAAGTCCATCACAGGGCCACATAGAGACAAACGAGACAAACAACAATTCACTCTCTCACTCACACCTAGGGACAATTTTAGAGTTACCAATCAGCCTAACATGCATGTTTTTGGTCTGTGAGAGGAAACCGGAGCACCCGGAGAAAACCCACGCATGCACGGAGAGAACATGCAAATTCCACCCAGAGAGGCCCCTGGACCGGGGTTTGAACCAAGGACCTGCTCGCTGAGAGGAAGCAGCTCTACCAGTTGCGCCACCGTGCTGCCCGCGGCCTCAGCCACCACATGTAATATTTGTTAATTTTTGTATGTTTTTTCTAGTAATTTTGACCTGGTGGGACCGGTAGTCCTGTTTTCGCACCTTCTTTTGTAATAGGTGTTTTTTTAGTTTTTTTTAAGATTTAGTCTGGTATCAGCAGCGGCTTCGACGGCCCTGTATAGGGTTGGCCCGCTGCTGTACCTTTTGGTTTGTTTTGGCCGGCTCACCAGGTCCTCCTTTAAGTTTGTACTTTGGGTTTTGTGTTGTTGTTTTTTTTGGTGGACACTGGAATTGGGGGTTTCTAATAATAATTTTTTTTTTTACAGGAAACAGCAGCTTTAATAAACTGAATGTTTTGAACCCTCATATTTGTGTCTCGTGTCCTCCTTTAATGTGTTATGTTCATGGAAAACATAACGTGGTTATTGAGAATGAGTTGAATAAAGTTTGATTATCTGACTGTTTGTTTCGCTTAATGCGCCTTATAATCTGGTGTGCCGTATGGATGAAAACAGACCCGTTCGTTGATATTGCGCCTTATAATCCAGTGTGCCTTATAGTCTGAAAAATACATTACAACTGATTAGCTTTTAGATTTACCTTGATTCAAGATGGCCGCCTCTATTACTGATCTTAAACAAATAAATGCTATATCTTGGCCAGTTTCCCAGAGATAAAGCTATAATTTAGCACAGTAGTAGCTGAGAGTCATTAAAAAAGACCACCAAACACATTGCGGGAGATTTTAATTTAAAATTTGGCTATTTATTGTTGTAGTTTCCTGTCTGTTAGTAAAAATATATCATGTAGACCAAAACAGATTTTATAGAACGCCCAGGAAATATTTGGGCGTACATCTACAGCTCATGAATTAAAATAAAGATGCCACAACTAAAAAATTTTAGCCAACACAAAAATGGCTATAACTCAGTTTTACAGAAGGTAAACTATAATTTGGTGTAGTAGTAGTAGTAATGCTAGATACCATTTTATATTGATGAACATGTTTTATTATTAGTACTTTTCATGCCAACTTTTCATGGACTTGTGCAGAATTGTTGCTAAATCAAGTCTGAGCAGGCCTTTTTCTATAGAAGTAGACTAAAGATCATCATTGGAAGGCTTCAGATGACAACGAAAGATTTAAATAAAGTATTCAGCATCTTACAGTTTTTGCCATAATCAAAGAAAGATCATTTGCTGAGAATGCGCTACAATAAACTCATGAATCAAGGGGCTGAGCAGGTAGAAAGCCTAACAAAGACAATAAAAATAACCCTGCAAGAAATCACCCAACCTTGTCTTTTATAGATGGGTGGTTTCCGGTAGATGTTGTTTTCCTCAGAAGCTGGGAACAGAAGAAAAGCCAGTTTTTAATGGTACACAACAAAATAAATTATGAAAGGAGAGGAGGAGGAGGCTAATCTGGATCTTCGTTCTGTCCCACCAAATTAGCTGAATCCATTAACAGTGTTCTGAACCGTAAAGCTGACAGCACGAGTGATAAACTGCATGGGGGAGGCTCTGCTGAGCATTCTGACAACCTGACATACAGAAAACACTGATTTACGCAGCCTCCAAAAGACAAGCAGACGGGAGAAAAATAAAGAGAGGAAAGCCGTTTAAAGGGGGGAAAAGGAGGAAAATAAATCTATCCTGGGTTGAAGGGACCATCCTCAACAAATATATGTGAGATCTGGTATTTTGAATGAAAGCATGCACCAAATGCATTCTGCTCGTTCGTATCAAACATGAAGGAAGTGCAGCTGTGGAGCTTGAAAAGGGGGAAAAAGATTTCTAAACAAAAAGCTGCACAAAGAGACGAACTGATGGCAGGCAAAGGGAATGACAACGTTTTCACTGCAAGATGCTCTCTAACGTGTTAAACATGCTGCTACGACCACCAGTTTTTCTTTTTATATGAACTAAATTGAATGTTTACAATAAGCTTCTTTTTTTTTAACTTTCTAATAGTATTAGTCGGACACTAAAAACAAATCAACTTTCCTGCTGACTTTGGGTCAAAATGACCAATGCCGTATGGAGCAGCAGGGGGTTAAAAATAACTGCTTATGATCAATAGGTACTGTTACTGTATGATTTTGTTTTATGTAAGCACGGGGGCTCAGCTGGAAGAATTGGTCATTCCCAGTAAGAAAGTTGCATGATCAAATTCTGGCCGGGGGCCTTTTTGGGTGGAGTTTACATGTTCTCTCCATGCATGTGTGGGTTTTCTCCGGGTACTCCAGTTTCCTCCCACAGACCAAAATCATGTATATTAGTCTGATTGGTAACTCTAAATTGTCCCTAGGTGTGAGTGAGAGTTTGTCTCTATGTGTCCCTGTGATGGACTGGAGACATGAACTGGGTTTACCCCGCCTCTCACACAGTGACATGGGTCACGGGATGCTGCTGCAGGACGTGGGCACCAGTGACACATAAATGAATAAGCAAGTGAAGATAATGGATGTAAACAGTATATTTACCTAATTTTAACACAATTTTTTGTCCTAATTTGGTTATTGTTACACAAATAAACTCCACAGAGTGTTAACAAGTTTCTGTCATTCAACCTTTATTTATACAGGTTACTCTCATTGAGCCTCGGGGACTGTTTTACAAGAGAGACCCGTCAACTCGTTTAGTCTGAAGAACTGGTAAAAAACCACCAGATTTATCTTGACAGAGAAACTGAAACAATTACATTGAACATTTTATTAAAGTTCATGCTCAATTATCCAGGTAAAAAAAAAAAATCCAACAAAGTTCAGTCAGGTCATCTGGACGATTTTTTTTTTTTTTTTTGAGACGTTTCATCCTTCATCCAAAGGACTTCATCAGTCTGAGGAGCCACAACAAACTCAGTCCCACAAGCAGCACACTCACATAGTGGGCCAACAAATTTGCTGGTGATAAGATGGTTTCTGGGGCCTGCCCTCTCCCCCATCGACTCCTCATTTATTCAACCTTTATTTAAACAGGCTAGCCTCATTGAGTCACGGGGACTCATTTACACGAGGGACATGTTCCAGACAGAACATATAAAGTACAGAAAACAATAACAGTAAACTACAGTAAAAATGCAGAATAAATAAGAGTAGTGTATAAAACAATAAATCAGGGTGCCATAAACAGGGTGAAATACTAAAAATAACAACATATTTGCTTTGATTTTTCTATTGACATTATCAAATGTTTGAAGCCCCTTAAAGTAATCAAGGTGGACAGCTTCAGTTCCTGTCGCAAGATGTTTCAGGTGACAGGAGCCGAGTAGGAAAAGGCCTTTTTGCCTGAGGCAGCCATTACCAAAGTGATTCAAAACATCAAAGTTCATGCTCAATAATCCAGGTTAAAAAGCCAACCCACTATGTGAGTGTGCTGCTTGTGGGACTGAGCTTGTTGTGGCTCCTCGGACAGATGAAGTCCTTTGGATGAAGGAGAAACATCTCAACAACAAAAAAGAAACCTGACTTAACTTTGTTGGATTGAGCATTATAGTTTTAAAAAAGGACTTCACTTTGAAAATGCTAATATAATTAATTGTGAGCACATATAAAATCAAAATAAAGATGTTTATTTTAAAGGCTTACATCTTATTATTGTGGTGATTAATGGATATAAACAGCAACAGTTTACAAAAAACAAAAAGCCACATGCCAGAGCTGCTGATAACAAGTATTTTATTTATAGTTTGAAGTGATAGGGGGTTATTTTGGTTGTTACACAGATCAGGGTTGGGGTTCAGATTAACAGCCTACCTGGAACATGGAAATGCTTTGGGACGTGGAGGGTGGAGGTGGTGGGTGTGGTACACCTGGGTTCTGGCTGACTGTAATAAGGTGAACTTCTGCCACTCTCAGTGCCTGCAGTCAGCCCAGGTAAGCACAGCGAGACAAACCAAATGCACGAATGGGCCCCAAACAGAAAGACACACAGGCTAATGAAACACACAACATGTGACGAAAGCTGAATGTCAAATGTTTGTGTGTCCTGAAGCTACACTCTATTTGCGTCTTGTCTGAAAGTGTGTGTTTTTACCTTACCGGGGCGATAATAATGCAGTGGGGATCCTCCGTGGTGACTGTGTGCAGGAGAGTTGGTGAAGGCAGAGCCGGATGAATATCTCGTTCTCAGCTCTACACCATCCAATAGATCCTGAGAAGAATGAACAGATTAAATCTTTGACTAATTCTCATTCACTGAACAGCTACTTTAAAAGACCATTTTAATCATGCTGACAGTGGTTTAATTATATGTAGTGGTTCTCCCAGCACTTACTCTGTTTATAGTACTAACTAGTCTACAGGATTAAAGTGGTGCTAACTATCTGAGGTCCATCATCCGATCAGGTTTTCCTACAGGAAGAGGGTCTTTCTTTTTTGTGGCCTGCTGCACCTTCACCAGTTTATTGCATGTGTTCACTGTTCTTTTACTTGGTAGCAGAACAGACCTTCCCCAATTACCGACAATTTTCAGAGCAGTAACTTACCACCATACTGTTGTGGTTTGTGAAGGAAAGTTCCACAACTGCAGTCATTCAAAGACTCGAGCAGAGATGATTTAATAACAAGATCTACAAGAACCAAAAATGCTGGTGTGACAGCAAAAACAACAGACGATAACAAAGGAGACTTCGAAAGGTGCAGAGGTGAACCAAATAAGGTACGGAAGCACAAAACCAGACTGCAGGTGAGGTGAAGAAGACTGAGATCCCGAGAGACTAAATAGACTGGTGCTGATGAGGCAATGGGAGACAGGCAGTTTAATGGTACTGGAGACCAGGTGTATGTAGGCATGGCAGGACAGGGGAGCAGAGGCTGACAAAGGAACTGTATTGAGATTGGCTGGAAGCAGAAGGAGGGAATGGGGAAAACTGAACACAAAGAAAATGTAGAAAATAAACATCACAGGAAACACACACCAACAAGAAGTCTCAAAAGATAAACAGAAGGAAACAAAGAACAGTAGCATGAAAAATCTGAACTAAGTATATATA